CACATGTGAATTAAAATCTTCGTTTGACTTCACCCGGCCGGACCAGTGTGGTTATTTTTCGATCACCTCTTGTACCCTTTCTCAATTCTTGAATCTTAACATCTGGGGGCTTCGTCCGGTGGTTGAGTAAGGGGAAAAAAGTGGAGGTGTGAGCGGTGGTCCGAGGTGGTCAGACGGGCAGACTTGGCCAGTGGTCAAAAGTGAGTGGACGCACGCCGGCGCATCATATTTAAAAAAGGTAAGACACTACCTGTTGAATTATTTCCAAAGTGTGTCAAATTGGGCTGTGAAAATTAAAAGTCTACTCACTGAAATTACTGGTGCATGTCTGTTTTGATTTTGATTTTGATGAAAATTTCATGAGTTGAAGCAGTTAGAGTTCTGCTAAGAAGAAATGAAAGCAGTAAAGTCTGCTAAAGCAGTTTGAGTCTGCCAGGAAAAAGTTTAAATATTGGGTTGAAGTCCCAAAGAAATTGAGTTAGAGTCTCAAGTAGTTTGGTAGGGAATTGGTTATTGTGTTGGTTAGAGTCCAAATTTGGTCATAAGAGTGGACCTGAGCGGTCATTTTGTGAGTTGGAGTCTCCATTTGACCACTAGGTTGCACCTACTTCAGTTATACACTTGTTTCGGGTGTTGATTGTTGTTTCAAAATATTATAAATTATTCTAGAACGGCAGTTCGAGTCTGCTAGGAAGCGCAGAGCCCGGAGGTTACGCTCCCTCCTTGTCGTGGACGCGCGACATTGACCTCTCGGCGAAGAGGGTTAGTTCAGTGTGGTTTAGCTGTGGGGTACAGGGCATCCCGGAATTAAGCTAGGAGTTAGAGTCTCCTTACCGTTTGCAACGGTATCTGCGCTTTTTTGGCCAGCAGAAGTGGTCTTCGGGCGTGTAACTTTAACTTAACACTTCGGGGTAAGCCTTGGCTGTGAAATGCCAAAAATAGAGCTTCAGGCAAAGTTTGGGTTGGTTGACGCTTTTAAATTGAGTTAGGGATTTTAGAAATGAGGCCAGAAACAGTTAAAGTCTTGATACTGGTTAATTGATCGCAAAAAACGGTTATGTTAAATTTGTCGAAATTCGATAGGTGTTAAAAGGTTTAAAATCTGTGCAGTTGTAAATATAAGACGTCTCTGTATTAAAAAAGATCTCTGTGGGTCGAGCCAGCAATGCACTGACTGCCTGCTGCTATTCTTAGATGAAGAGTGTGTGTGCATGCAAATGAGGCAGCTGATGCAGAGCGCATGAGAGGACTATGCTTTCGGTTTTGTGTGTCATTCAGCTCTATAACTATTGTTTGCAAATGTGGATAAATGTCTGCAATTAAAATGCTGGCTTAGTAAATAACAACATTGTAAATATATGAATGGTGACAGCGTTTCAAAATAGAATATAAGAATTGTTTGTGTTTAAAACCAACGTTTAGGTAAAGAAGATTTAAGGTGGATTTGAAGGCATAAACAAAAATAAAAGGGTTACAGTCTGCAAGGGTTGTTAATTCATGAGCTGACTGGATGCAGAGTAAGTGGAGTGGTCATCCTGAGAGGATTGAATGATGCTCTAACTCTGTGGTCAAGTCAGACATAGGCTTTAAGCAACCATGAGCCACTAATAAGCGTGACAAATTAATGAGTATGTGTAAATTGAACTTGTTAAATAGTTTTGATAGGAGTAACTCAATGAGCACGCAATAAAGTGGACTTTTTAGGGGCAGTTTATCACTGACACCATAAAAAGCAACTTAATTAGTAGTTTAATAACAAATTGTAAAGATAACCTTTGTTATTTGAAGAGAGAGAGAAAATTCAGGTTACATATAGTGAATAAATAAGGAAATGTTAATCTCTGCGTCATTCCACACTGAAATTTCAATTGTAGGGGATCGTTTGGAGGTGAATTGTGTAGGACACGGGGAGACAGAAGAATCTCCCCATGAGTTTTCAGTGTGCATAGAAATTGAGGAGGCTGAACTGGAAGCCTGCCTGGGTCGTTGTTTTCGTTTATTTGAGGGTTTGCTGGAAGTTTGTGAAAACGACCACCTTGATATGTGGGAGCCTTCTCGGGCAGCGATTTTTTTGTTAGACCTGTGGCAGGCTGTGCAACATGGAGAAAGCTTTGACATAATGTCATAAAGGTGATTTCTTGGTTCTAGACTTATTAGTACGGGACAAGTTGAGGGACCCTTGAGGGTGTGTTGCTGTAAAGTATATAAGGGACGCGCAGCGCTGTTAATGGGTTTAAAATAAATGAAAAAACACTAATCCGAGGAACTATTGGAGAGGTAAGTATACGGAGGTGAGCGCGTTGCGCATAAGGGTTGCTGGTGTCATATATTAACACTTTGAGGGCGAATAATTTTGATTGAGTGTCAACGCTTGAGAACGCGAGGACAGCGTCTAAAGTGCTGGGTTAAACTTTGTGTATCACCGAGCAGGGGAAGACGAGCCAGTGGTTGCGAGAACAGCGAGACGAAGACTGAAACCGAAAGTTAAGCGTGTCTGGGTGACCTAGACCAAGAAGGTGGAGTCGACCAACGTCATTGGAAGAGGTAAGTCTGTGTTTCAGAGAATGGCTGACAGCTCGAGTGCGACACCTAGTGGGAAAAGGGGATGCAAACCTTTGAAGGATCAGCTTGAACAGCTTAAGAAAGCTATTCGTTTGGCTTCACCTGGAGCATTAAAAGCAGCAGAGAAAGAGTGCCAAGCGATGGAGGTTGAGGTAAGCAAACTTATTACATCTCAACAGAAAGGGCTGGGTGATAAAATAGCTCTGAGCCTGGTGTTAAAAACTGAGGGAGAGAGATGTGAACAGAAATTGAAACAATTTGAAGAGGAGTCCAAGGGACATTCAGTGAACAGGAAAGCCAGAGGAGAAATTAAGGATCTAAAAGAAACTCATGCCAGGTGCTGTAAGTGGCTGCTCCTGTGGAGGGCAGCCTCTTCCTGGATGACTGAGGAGGAGGATGACACAGGAAAATCAGGAGACATGGTGAGTATAATGGAGTCTTTGAAACATCTGAAGGAGGAAAATAAAAAGCTAGAGGACCAAGTGAAGGACTTGACTCCGAAGGTAGAAGAGGCTAATAGGTATTACACACCGAAATTATATCCTTGGGCTGAATTGGCACGTTGTGCACCACCACCACCATATGTCATGCCTGTAATGACCCTTGGAGGGGGACAAGTTCGTGGTCCTGATGGACAGACTGGAGTTGTCCTTGGCGGAATAGCAGATGTTGAATATACTACTACTCCCCTGAATATCCCCGAAGAAGGGATAAAGGCAGTGGAATGTCAGTCCCAAGATATGGGAGGGAGAATGACAGCCTCAGCTGCAGATGAAGGCTCGACCTTGCCTCCCAGTTCGGTGGAGAGTGGAAACATCATACGGGCCGAAGTGTCTACAGTGGAACAGCCAAAGCAGGACGGGGAGGCCAAAAGGACCCCTAGAATGAAGGACAAAATACCACAAGGAGTGATAACCAAGGGAGAACATTGGGAAGGAGAAGTGTATGGACAAATGCATGAGCCCCCACGTGCGTTAATAGAGGCATTAACAGCATTGGAGGTTATAAAGCAGAGAGTAATGCAGGGAGGGCCAGAAGAGGAGAATGAAGACCGTGCGACGTCATCAGAAGAAGAGGACGATAAGGAGGACGAAGATGGAGGACCTGAGCCCCAACCAAGTACAAGCCTAATTTTGAGGAAAAGAAGTGTGAAGAGAGACCAAGCACAGAGACAGCCCATATTTAGGAGCTCAAAGGGAAAAGGAAAGTCGAGGAAGGGTAGAAAAGTGAGTTTTGAACAAGGTGCTCCTGACCCTGGTTTAAATCTGCCTCTAATAGCAGGTCCAAAGAACGAACCAGTTTATCGCGCCTATAAGGTGAGAGATTTGGAAGCATTGGTTAAACAACTTCCACCAATAACTGAGGGAGGAGCTAGCTGGTTGAGAAAGCTGGGCGCGCTGACCGAAGGAGAAGAATTAGCGCTGGGCGATTTTCGCGCTTTGGCCGGACGTTGTATGCTGGGTGGTGGGTTAGCAGATGTAGAGCAGATAGCTCAAACAACCAGATATGCAAATGACCTACAATACCATGAGGTGCAGAATGACTTAGCAGATGCAGTCCGGGAGAAGTATCCAACTCCTAATTCTGGAGCCATTCCAAAAATTATTTGGGATCCCAAAAACACACCCAGAGAGTTTTTAGCTAAAGCAAAGGAACAATGGTTGTTAGAAACAGGAATACATCCGGGGAAGGAGGGTGAAAGTAGAGCGTGGTTTCGTTCGGCGGTGCTGGCAGGGCTGCCCAATCAGGTTGCAGTTGATTTGGAAAAGAACCCAGATTTTGCCGTTGCAGACTCGGTGCAGTGGGAGAGACATGTGACCCACAGACTTCAGCAGGAACAGGATTTGGCAAACAAACAAAAGAAAGAGTTGGAGGAGGCACAGGCGCAGCTGGTAAAGATACAACTGACGGAGGCGAGAAACAAGGCAGGTGACAGAAAGAAAGAGGATAAAGAGAGCGCAAGGAAAATAATGGTGGCAAGGTCTCAGCCCGATCCTGTGCCTGACTGGCCAGATCAGGATCCGGGTCTCTACCCTGATGACCGTTGGCCCGCCAATGCACCAAGGCAGCGTCAACCAGTAGGGAATTGGGGGACCGGTGGACCGCAGAGAGGGCGTGGTGGATCCGTGAGGGGAGGACAAAGGGCTCGGAATCCAGGGAATCCTAACAATGTGTCTTGGACTGCCTGTTACAGCTGTGGAGCAGAAGGACACTGGTCCCGAGAATGCCCTGAATCGCAGCGAAATTATCAGAGGCGAGGCTATCAATCCCAGGCACGAGGAGGCCCAAGACAAAGAGCTGCTTACAGGGGAGCATATCAAGCTCCAAACCCGAATGCAGCACCAGCCGCCCAGTACCCAGTAGCTGACTGGGGCTGGGAGAGGGAGCAATACTGACGGAGCCCGGAGAAACTGAACAGCGTGGGGGCGGCAGAACCCATGCTGTCAATGACCGTGGAAGGCACTGAATTGCCCTTCCTGGTGGACACTGGAGCAACATACTCAACTTTGAAAGACACACCAGACAGTGCAACACTCTCCTGTCACACAGTTAATGTGGTAGGCTTTTCCGGGATTCCAATGACACTGCCATTGACAGATCCAGCATTGACACAGCTGGGAAAACAGACTTTGAAACACCAATATGTGGTGTCCTCACAGGTGCCTGCAAATCTCATGGGCAGGGACCTGCTTGTGAAACTGGGAGCCACAATCATGTGCTCACCAGATGGACTGATTGTTACTCTGCCTGGAGGAAAAGAATTCCCGTGTCTGGGTTCACCTTCAAAGACTCAATATTTAGTCCAGAACTCTGAACAACCCACTGCCGAAATCTACTGGGGGAGGCTAGTGGAAGAAGGCATTCTGAGACATTATCAGCTGTGGAAACCCTGGATAATGAGCCTGGCCGTCTATTCCCCCCCGCGAGATCCTTTCCACGTTACACTCTTTTATGATAGGGAAGATAACGATATCTATCGGGAACAGTTCCAGTCTGATCTTGAGGGACAGACGTGGAATGTGCAAACACATAACATTTATGTTGGACCAGAAGGTGTGGCCGCGGCTGTGAAATTTACTGATGAACAACTGCCTTGGTACAATGTGGGAGAGGATTCAGCCCCTCACATTACATTGGCGGTCCACGAGGGTCATGGGCCAAGAGATCTGGGACCAATGGTCAAGCGGGCGCTGGACGACGCATGCTGGCAAAGCACCCAAATTCCAAATGTCTGGTATGCACCAAAATGTAAAATATATCGCATTACTTGTTTGTCTAACGATGCAGTGATCTTAGAACATAAAGAAATCTCCAGAATACATGGCAGGGAAAGAATGGATCATCCTGATGCAGTAGCTGAGCTCTCAAAATTGCCTGGTACTTTGTGGTCCGCAGGGCCCACAGATGTAGGTCTAGCTAACTGTTCGCCTGTCCTGTTCCAGCTGAAGTCTGACATACCAATTAACAGACCACAATATAAGCACAAAACTGAAGCAGAAGAAGGTATAGCTGAAACCATTGAAGGACTGTGGAAGGCAGGAGTGCTTGAGCCCTCATGGTCATTTTGGAACACACCTATTTTGCCAGTGGAAAAACATGGGACAGGGAAGTACCGTATGGCACATGATTTGAGAGCAATAAATGCCATGCTGAGGACTGACACTGTGCCTGTACCAAATCCCTACACGGCTCTGACCGAAATCACTGGGGACCAAAAGTGGTTCACATGTATTGACCTGGCGAATGCATTCTTTTGTCTCCCACTGCACGAGTCACTCAGAGACATTTTCTCATTCACATACAGAGGCCGCAAATTTAGGTACACACGCCTACCACAAGGCTTTGCACTCTCACCAGGAATTTTTAATCAGGTGTTGAAAGAGGCATTGTCCCCATGTCAACTGCCAGGGGGCTGTACATTGATACAGTATGTTGATGATCTTCTTATTGCAGCCCCGTCAGCAGCGGCCTGTACGGCAGCATCGCTCGTGGTGTTGAACAGATTGGCGGAGTGTGGCTTCAAAGTGAGCAAAGAAAAACTGCAGTTGGTCCGGCCAGAGGTAACATTTCTGGGCCGGGTGATAGCACACAGATCAGTGGGGTTAATGAACACACACAGAGACCAAATTCTGACACATCCAAAACCAAGAACTGTGAAGGAGTTGCTTTCCTTTCTTGGCTTGACAGGTTACAGCAGGCAGTTCATTCCGAATTATGCGGGTAAAACGGCCCCTTTAAGGGACATGATCAAGAAAGTTGGTGTTCGAAATCTGAAGGCTGAATTGCCTTGGACGCCGGACACAGAGACAGCGTTCATTTCACTAAAACAGGATTTGTCAAGAGCCACAGATCTGGCCACACCTAACTATGATGAGGCATTTTACCTTGATGTTTCAGAAACAAAGGGAGTTGTGAATGGTGTGTTGTTTCAGAAAAAAGGGGGAGGTAGGGATGTACTTATGTATGTCAGCATAAGATTAAATTCAACAGAAGCAAGGCATCCCACATGCACACAACACGCAGCAGGAGTAGCAAAGATAATTCAGAAAACAGCACATATAGTGAGGGAACACCCACTGAAAGTGCTTACTACACACAGTGTAGTGGCCTATGTGAACTCACAGGCATTCACAATGACTCCACTGACGCAACAAAGGTTGAGCAAAATTTTAGAGGCGCCAAATTTGATATTCACACATGAAGGAATAAATATGGCAGACCTAATGGGGTCAGGAGAACCACATGACTGTATTAAGAAAGCCCAGGTTGAAGGAAAAATCAGGGAAGACCTGAAGGCAGAGCCCATATACGGAGCTGAGGATTGGTTCACAGATGGATGCTGCCACAGAGATGAAGAAGGATTGAAAGCGGGCTATGCAGTAGTCTGTAGAGTAGGAACTGAGTTTCAGGTGAAAGAAGCAGGAAAAATTGAGGGACAACAGTCGGCCCAGAGAGCTGAAGTGATAGCCCTAACTCGAGCCCTGAGGTTGGCTAAAAACATGAGAGTGAACATCTACACTGACTCAGCATATGCGTTTGGAGCAGCTCATGTGGAACTGGCTCAGTGGAAGAGAGCCGGGTTCAGGACGGCCACTAATGCACCCATCTGTCACAAAAAGGAAATGGAGGAACTAGAAAAGGCCTTGGAGGACCCAGACGAGGTAAGTATTATAAAATGCAAAGGCCACTCACAAGCAGACAGTATGGTGGCAAGAGGAAATCAGAAAGCTGACGAAGCCGCAAAGGAAGCAGCGGGCTACAAAGGACAGAGACAACTGGTGCAGGTAACCCCAGAAGAGGAGGTTAGCACTAACAGCATGGAAGAAGTTAGAAAGGCTCAGGAGGAGACATCCCCAGAGGAAAAGGGGGTGTGGGAAAACAAAGGAGCCTGGCAAGATGGCGGTTTGTGGAGGGGCCAGATGGGCGTCCCGCTTTAACGGCCAAAATGGCGGAACAAAAGGTGAATGAGGCTCACGGGCTCGGTCACGTGGGAGTGAAACAGATGGAGAGAAATTTGTGCCGATGGTGGCATCCTGATTTGAGAAGGATGATACTGGAAAAGGCCAGAACGTGCCTAATTTGTGGGGCACACAACCCAAAGCCAGCAGTAAAACCTGAAGCTGGTAAGTTTCTCATGCCAGAAAGGCCAGGAGAAGAGGTTGTGATTGATTATACCGACATGATTGATACAGGCCCAGGTGGGGTGAGGTATTTGTTGGTGTGTGTGGATGTTCTGACTGGATGGCCCGAAGCATGGGCGACCAAATGTGAAGATGCGAAAAGTGTGATTAAGTGCTTAATCAATCATTACATTCCAAGGCATGGGTTTCCCAAGAGAATTAGGTCAGACAATGGTACTCACTTTAAGAACAAAGATTTGCAAGAGGTAGAGAGGATGTTGGGAGTGCAACATAAGTTCGGGACGGTCTATCATCCTCAATCTCAAGGAAAGGTAGAGAGGATGAACCTAAATTTGAAAAACAAGTTGGCTAAAATTTGTGCGCAGACAGGGCTAAATTGGGTCGCAGCCCTGCCCATTGCTTTGATGACCATAAGATGTTCTGTTAACCAATCCACAGGTTTCACCCCTTATGAGCTGCTGACTGGGAGACAGTTTCCAGCACCCTGGACAGTGGTCCCGGTGGAGCAGCCCAGGACAAGCAACAGGTCTCATGCAGAATATTTTAATGAGTTGAAAGCTCTTGTGTCCAGCTTTACAAAACAGGTCACTTGTGAGAGACCCACGGGGAACGGAGAGGTCCCGGACGCAAAGGCAGTGTGGCTGAAGGTCATTAAGCGAAAGTGGAAGGAGCCCCGCTGGACTGGTCCGTATGAGGTGATCGCCCGGACGGCTACAGCAGTCCAGCTGAAAGGGAAAGGCGACACCTGGTACCATTGGTCGCAGTGTGCACCCGCACACGAGAGCTTGGTGGAGGAAAATTCGTCGTCAAGGAACGCAGGTGTCAAGGAACAGAGGCAGAATAAACCTCTTCACCTGTGTAACGGGCCGACCAGTAGTCTACCTGGAAGGCCGAAGAAAGAAGAGCAGCCTAGGAGGAGATCGCCGCGCCTACAAAAAGGAGTGGTAACAAATTGAGAGTTTGAAAAGGGGTGGTTCAAATAAAAAGGAGGAAAACAGAAACAAAGTTTTAAAATTTATGCTAAGTACAAATATACATAACACAATGCCATCCCGCGAACCGGAGATTCGTGAGGAAAGAGGACTGATTAAAATGTTGCTTGTGATTGTTAGTTTGATGACTGTGATGATATTGATAATGGCCCTATGTTTGCTTGTTTATATTTTGCAGGGAGGCCCCCGCGAACTGTCTGAACACTGGGGCCAGCTGAATCCAGCACTAAAAGAGAAATCGTTTATTGAAACAGGGCTAAAAAGGAGATCAAAGCGCGAGGTCTCGGGTAAAAGAGATGAGTGCCTGAGCACATATGGCGGTTTAGAGTTGAACTATGTTAATGGGTCCACAACTTCATTCACCTTTGACTTATGCGATGTTTTAAAGTGTGAAGGAGCAGATACTAGTTGGAGAGGATATAATGTGTGGGTTTGTTGGGATTATGCAGTAAGTACACATTGTGAAAGAGGGAGTAGGCCCTTTGCAAACTGGTGTCGGAACTGGAATCAGGTAAAGGGTTACACTGGGGAAAATGGGGAAACGTCAGGACAAGGGTCAGAGAACGTGTTAAAACTCCAAAGAGATTATAGTCCATCTAAGAATCCTTTGACTATGTCGCTGGGCAACTGGCGGCGTAAAAACTCTTTGTATTTAGTCTTAGGTGTGGAGACTGTGGGAACTGACCCGAAGGGGTTAATTAAAATTAACTTTCTTGAAAAGGCCAATCCCGTAAATCCCGTAGAGCCAGTTAGAGAAGAAAAGGAAATACACATGATTAACAACCAAATAAACGCTGTTGTAAATTCTACGGGAAAAAGGGGAAATGGGCCGTCATATGTGGTACCAGAGGAACAGGAACTAAAGGATAGACGAGTCCTGGCGGTGGACTACACCAGACTGAAGCCTCAGGATTTAATTGAGCGCGCCACTGGGTTCAGTGACAGTAATCTCTGGCTGGACTGGATGGCTCTAAATGCTAGGGAACAAGAGGTATCCAATTGTGTTGCTTGTGCCTCTGCTAGACCACGGTTGTTCACAGAGCCCGCTCCACTCCATCCGGAGGACAAGTGGGGTTATGATTGCATGTTGCGAATGACTAGAGGAGCGGTGAGTACTGGAGACTGTACTGTGTTATCCAGTTTGTTTCCTCCAGTTGATAAGCGGACAAAGGTAGGACCATTTTTGCCGAAAAAAGGTAATTATACTTGTTTTAAGTTCTCCACAGATAAAGTAATATATAACGTGGGGGAAATCGACCCAAGTTGGTGCGCTGTTACCCAGACGGGAAGAACCACAAACAATGTAAGTGATCCCAACACTTTAATTGGGACTTGGGCTAGAAGTGGACTTTATTATTATTGTGGGCACAAGACTCTTTTGGCTCGTGTTCCTCTGGGAAGTGTGGGGACGTGCGCGATGGTCAGACTAGGAGCACCTCTTATGCTAATTGGAAATCAGGTAAAAAACATTCCACAGCACAACACACGCACATTGGCAGCTAGGCGGAAGAGACATATCCTGTCCAAAAGCGGGATTGAGGGAACACATGCTTATGACCCTAGGCTGAACTCGCCAACCTGGATTGACTCAATAGGGGTCCCCAGAGGAGTTCCGAATGAATATAAACTCGTAGATCAAATAGCTGCGGGTTTTGAGAATCTTCCAATAATTTCTGCTCTTTTTCCAGTGACCCCGAACAAAAATGTAGACAGAATTAATTATGTTCACTATAATTTGCTGAGGCTCTCTAACCTTACCAGAGACGGGATGGAAGGGTTAGCGGAGCAGATGGGTCCGACCTCATTAATGGGAGTCCAAAATAGAATGGCCCTTGATATGTTATTGGCGGAAAAAGGAGGGGTCTGTGCGATGTTCGGAGATCAGTGTTGTACTTTTATCCCGAATAACACTGCTCCAGATGGCTCGGTGACGCGAGCCTTGGAGGGGCTAAAGAGTCTCTCTAGGACCATGCATGACCACTCGGGAATTGACAACCCGCTGGAGAGCTGGATGACCTCAGTGTTCGGAAGGTGGAAGGGGCTTGTTCTGTCCATTATGTTGTCTCTATCTGTATTGGTGGGTATTTTGGTGACTTGTGGTTGTTGTCTCATTCCTTGTGCCCGAAGGTTGGTAGAGAAAGTGATTGTAAAGGCAGTGGACCCTGGGGCAGTGGCCCCTATGTCCATGATGCCGATGATGGATCTGGAGGTAGCCGAGTGGACTGTGGAGTGAACAACAACCTATGTATCGACCTCTGGGGTGTCAGAGGTCGAAAGGGGGATTGTGGGGATAAACAAAAAGTATTTTACCAGCATAATATAATCTGCAGTATGAGCATTGCTTTAACAATATAACAGATAGCTTTAAGATGGCCTTAAGATGTTTATGATGATGTTAACTTTGTATTTCAGGGGCAGTTATAACTATTTTATACATATTGCATATCTGTGCTTATTTGAGTTGATGTTCAGGTTCATTAATGGTTTTGAGCTTCATCTAGTGAGAGTGTCTAGGTGATTCATGCTGAGGGAAAACTAGAACATAGAAGGAATTGCAATACATGCTTACAAAACACTTATATCAGTTTATTTTATTATCTTTTATATGTTTATATTCTTGTATTAAGGTTTTAGTAGAGGTTCTTGGTTAAAACATTTATTTAGTAGAAGACATACACATAGTCTCAGTGAGCTTCTGGTCTGGTAAAAGGTCAGAAGTGCAACAGGTGAATTGAGAAAGAGCATTTGAGGATGAGACACAGACAGTAGGTGAAGAGGTGACACAAAGAGCATGTGAGGTCAACACACACACACACACTTTAAATTAGATTTATTTAGAAGAAGAGGTTAGTTATGTTTGGCTGTAACTGCAAAATTGTCTCGGCAAGAAAGAGGAACAATTCATTTTAAGATAAGAACGGAAAGTACCAAGCCATGAAAATAGATGATTTTCTAGGTGAAAAGTCATGAGGATGTTGATCTGATCTATGTATAAAATGTATCTGTGACGTATGAAGGGGCGTCGGTAAATAAACCCTGATGTTATAAAATAATTGTTTGTGCTTTAGTAAGTCGAAGATCAATTGCTGTGTTCAGTGATCTTCCCACATGTGAATTAAAATCTTCGTTTGACTTCACCCGGCCGGACCAGTGTGGTTATTTTTCGATCACCTCTTGTACCCTTTCTCAATTCTTGAATCTTAACAACATGAAGGCCAGTTTGTGTGTCTAACATTACCCACAAAGAAAAGAAGCTGCACTTCAACATTCCCGTCTCACTGGGAACTTCAGTCTCTAACCCCACTTCACAGGAGGGAGTAATAAAAAAAAATGCTGGTCATGGTGAGAATAAGGCAGATTTCATGTTACACCTGATATTCTGAAGTGCAACGTTTTATTCCGACAGCTGTGCGAAGGGAAGAACCTGAGGACAACACGTCCACTTCAGTCTGCACGTCTGTGCTGAGTGTCCGTGTCACTTGTACAGGCTGAGCTCGGGGCTGTGGTACAGGCACATGTACGAGTCGCAGAGCAGGCGACGCGCAGCCTCCCTCAAGGAGCTGGGGTCCACTCTGCTCAGCTCCTCCTCTGACAAGCTCAGGTAGCGGCCCACCTCGGGACAAGCCTTCACTTGGGGGATGTTGAAGCCGTTCTCTCCACCTGTGTGAGAGCACATGGAGAAACGTGAGCGCGTGCTCCACGCTGGCTGAATGTAAGATTCGGTTATCGTGTTTGAGTTTCACCTTCCCGATCCGCCATGCTGTCGAAAAACAGCCAGTCGGTGTCGAGGGGCCCGTTCTTGACGAAGCTCACGTAATGGCTCGTCTCGATGCACGTCACAGCGAAGAGAGACATTCGCTGTCGCGTGCAGTGCAGGGGGCCTGTCCACTGTTCCCCGGGGACGGCAATCTTCACCGGGCTGTGGGACGCTCGTTTCCTGTGACTGTGGACCTGGTGATCAAAGTCAATGAGTAAAAAACACAGACTGTATATAAAAGGCGGCAGCAGCTACCATGAAGCCAACCACTGAATCACAAGTGCCCATACTTGGATGACAGAGTGGAGTGCTGAGATTATGTGAGGAGCAAGCACCAGCATCCAGCAGTTACAGTTATAAACATATCTGATATTTAGTGCAGAGTAAGACACAAAATAAGAGTGCTTATTTGGCAGCCAACTTTCAGCACAGGGTACAATCTTAATCTGGTATCATGTACAGAGTACCGAGCGAGTCTACAGAGTATCAGCGATCCAGAAAACCACAACACTGGGCTGAATTAAGCTGGACTGCTGCAGACGATTCCATCTTTAAAGCAGAGGCTCTTTGGTGCATGTCTCTATAAACCTGAAGCAGTGAAGGGCTACCTGAACGTTGCAGGTCTTGCAGTACTGTTTCAGATGTCCAGGAGTGATGTCTACATCATCGTAACACTGCAGACACTCCCACTCGGCTACAGCCTGACAGATAGTACACTGCCTCAGAGCTGCAAGAGAAAGGAGAACATAAAACTTAAGCTACTTCAAATCTTCAATGAGCAGGAACAAATCGCTCCCTGTGATCGTCCTTACTGTCATCCAGCAGGTCTGTGATGTCCAGGCTGAGGGTCGGCAAGATGGCGTCAAACATTTTGAAGTCTTTCCCGAACCTCGGCATGAGCAGCAAGAGGCAAGAGGGAGCCTGGTGGGCACATCAAGCCACACATAAGAAAATATAGCAACTCCTTTTTACTCATATTGATGTGAAATCTCTGGCTTATTTCTATCACCTCAACAAACTTGAGGCCGGAGTGGAGAAAGGAGGACTCCAGCAGGGTCTGGACGCTGGCGACCCTCATGGATGACGCTGAGGAGAGGGGGATTGGGGAGTTGACTGGGGAGAGAGCCTCGGGCGAGGAAGGAGAGGGGGTAAGGGCAGGAGGGAAGAGCTGATAGAGGTGACACTCCTGTGGCTGCTGAGACATCGATCTGAGGAGAGGAAGAAGGCAGGGAATTAAATATGTAGAATGAGCTCAAGATTTAGGTGATGATCAGGCCTCAGCTCCTCTAACTCGAGCTACTGAATTTGACCTTTAACTGCTAAACCTTTAACGTTCGATACATTGTTGTGGAATTCATAAACAAATATTACCTCCTGAAGCATGTGGTTTTCTGTGTGGTGCAGCCCATCCAACATGTCTATGCTTCAGGTTTTATCAATGAAACACCAGCGTGTGTGTGTACGGTTTTTAAATGCAGTCTGCAAGCCAAGCTTGTGAGATCTAGCTGTCTAATTATGCTGCCCTCTGGCTGCACTGTGGATCATGTCTCGTTCAGTGTTGCTTTGTTATTGTTTCCCTCGAGACCTTGTTTAACACCAGAACAAAGCCACCGGGTGCAATCCTAAAACACTGACAGAGCAGGCATTACAACAATGACCACCTTTGATGCTTGGCTGTGTAAGCATATAGTTATCCATAAATATTTGGATAATAACAATTTTCCTTGTAGTTTTTGTCTCTGCACGCCTTCACAGTAGACTTTAAATCAAACAAGATGTGAGCCAATTTCCAGCTTTAATTCAAGGGGTTCAATGAGAGTATTGCATTAACTCTTTAGGACCTGCAGTCATTTTTACCCTTCAGCTATAAAAGACTGATGGGGTATTGTCATTACCCTGCCAACGATAGACAGGCGGGCGGGCCGCGTGGTCACGATAACTCAAGATCAGTGCAACACAGGACTTTCAAATTCATAAAACAGGTGCATCTATTAAAAAACACTGGCAAGTTTGAATAACAGTGACCTTGAAGTCAAGGTCAGAGGTCAAGTTTGAGATCCGTTGAGTCACTGAAGTACATAAAAGGGAGGTGAAACACTTCATGGAGCTCTAAGCAAATAACAACATGGACAAGCATGAAAACACTGAACGCAGTCTTCACAGGGACACTATAGACACAAGAGGCAAGTCAAATAGTTTTAGGAAGAGCCACAGTCTGTTTGACCTCCAGGCTGGAAGTCCCTTTTCCTTTAGTTAGATTTAGACAGTGTGAACTTCAACAATAACAAGCAACAACCAGGCAAATATTTCCATCACCTTTGAACAAAAGTGAACTGGTGGCAGGTTGTGTTCTCACAGAGGAATGCATGAAATGTAGAAGAGCGACAGTGTTGGAAAAACGTCATCCAAATTCAACTTCCAACCGCGTCGATGCAACAGCTAACCTGTGTGTGTGATAATGACTGTGTGCAGGTAATCTGGGAACAACAGTCCAGTGAGAAACTGTCCATGCAGACAAAAAGAAAAGAAAAAACAGCAAGTGTCGGCAACATTACCTGATCTTGAGAAGCGGCTCGACTCGGAGAAGCTGGAAAAGCTTGTTGAGAAATTCTTCAGGATCTGACAGAAAGAACAAGAGAGGTATGACAGCATTCCTCGAAGTCTTTAACTATGTTTGCAGCACAGTCCCTGGTGGAGGAGAACACTTGCATACCTTTCTCCTGGTTGGTGAAGCCCATATCACTGTTCGCAGCTTCCAGCAGTCGCCTCAACGCCATTGTCTTACTGGCACACACATAGCCGTACCTTTAAAAACACGGCAGCACAGGAGCGCCTCAGACACGTCACACAGATATATAACAAGAATGTGAGCACAAACTAAAGTTATGAGCGCTTCAGCCTAGCGACACGTGAACATGTGGTGTTTAATGACTGCAACCTTTTGGGCCTCCTATTAGAATGACATTTGTGTTTAACGACCACAAACAGAACACTGGATTAAACTCCACATGCTTGTGATACCAAAGGTCACTATTCTGGATAAGTAGCAGTAGTGTTAGTACTGTTATCAGATAACCATGGCCACTGACTCGTGTTTTAAAGCCAGTCTCAAGTGGTCACTAGAGAAACTTCAGTTTTTGTTGTAGAGATGGTGACAACAGAAACTGATAGTAAGGAGACAGGAAATGGGCACAACAGTCCCTCCATCATACCTCCCGGTTCATTTTAACCAAACAATGACCAGTGACAACAGCACAGACCTCCGCAGTGGGTTGACAATGTCGCAGCGTAGAAGGTCCTGAGCCTGACTGGAGCTCTGGTCGGTTTTAGGGTCGGTGGGCCAGAATAACACACAGTCAGCTGAACTGCAGCAGGAAAACAGACTGTGGAGACAAAAGCACACAGGTGGGGTTTAAAACAAGCAGCTGGGTGGAATCTTGGTGCACCCCCTCATTTAATGCCAGGCTCCTTCATTTCTACCTGTAGGTAGATTAGTTCAGCAGTGGTGAATCATCCATCCTCACGTGCACACTCTCAATGCAACAAATATACATCATGCAAAAAATATTAAAAGTGAGAATTATTAATAATTCATTTGGGGCATCATGTAGCCCACAAAACTGGCAAAGCTATAATTTGTTTATCTGCGTGACGGCTGCATAAACAAAGCTTTTTTTAAACCAGATATCTTTGTCCAGAAGGAGGAAACTAAAACTCTGTGCAAAAAGAAATCGAACCAGTGAACCGCTGCAACTGTCTGGTGTGCAGGGATGCTTGGGTTCAGCTGTGCTTCACCGATCAGCCTGTTAGACCACTTCACCATTTGACTGAGCGATATTCTGTTCTTTACATGTAAATATCCAAACCAGGACACCAAGAAGAAAAAGATAAGAACGATTCAGTAAAAGCACAATAAAATAAAATCATCATTGTTTTTATCAACGTGGAAGAAAAGAAGCCTTCTCAAACATTCTTGCACACAGCTTCACAATAACTGCTCCAAGATATTTATAACACTGAACATATTCCACAGTCGGACATGTGACATCATATGCGAGTGCACTTTCATGTCTTTGCTTTTGATATGTTCAACTGAAGGTAGCAGTTTTAGACTGCTGACCTTCCTCTAAGTCCCTGGTTTCCACGTGGGCGGAGTTGTGAGATGACGGTCTTAGTCATATCTACTCTCTTCCTCATCCAGCAGCAGAAATAAGCCTGTCACATGCATCACTTCTAATGGTCACATTTAATATGTATTGTATTGTATGTACAGTATTGTAACAGTATACACAGCAGAGGCACAGCATGTCTGCTGTAGATCACAGTGACAAAAAACATTCATTATCAGCCTTTTTGTGAACAATCTGAAAGATCTGGTATAAATCTGAAAAACCAGCTTTTGTCAAAACAACATATTTACACCAACAGTCTTCTTTCTATGAGATGTAGGACAGTAACTAATGTCTCAGATGTTACCTGAACAGCGTGGCATCCAGGTAGCAGGAGTTGAGGTGACCCTGGATGCCTTTCTTCCAGCCCTGGTAGAGCTCCCGGGCCTCATCCCCCTCCACAGGAGGAGTGTGCTCCTCCACGCGCTCACTGCCCCACTCTGCAAAGGCTGGCAGCCACAGACACAGAAGATGGTATTAGATATCAGAGCGTCATAAATGCTGCTTTAACAGCGATCATCAGCACGTATGCAAAAATGAGACAGAGAGCTTTGACGGCGAGGTGCTGGCGTGGCCTTGTGTCAGATTACAGCCTACTTTACCTATAGAGTTGCATCGCTCCACTTGATTGACAGGCATCTCGGGGGCGGGGAATCTGGAGTCCCGTCTACAGTTGCGAAGCTTTACGAAAAGTCCCTTGTTGGCCGGGCAACGAAAGTGACGCTCCCCGAGGTAACTGCCATCCGTTCCAGCAGACAGCTCCTGTTCCTGACACACACACACACACACACACACACACACACCACACCACACACACACACACACACACACACACACACACACACACACACACACACACACACACACACACACACACACACACACACACACACACACACACACACACACACACACACAGTGGGGATTTACTAGCCTATTGCAAACCAGCATGATAGGAGGTCATTAAACTAATGGAGTGAAACCTGTGACCTGCTCCAGGCAGGCAGCCTGAGCCCTACGTACTGACCTGCCTTGCAAATCAAAGACATCCTCCCTCTGGGGCTCATATCACCCCCCTGTGTGATATGCGGCATATTTGTGCCTAGAGCCCACACATCAAACTCCAAGTTTCCTCTGCTGCTGTAACAAAGTATTTGATTCAGCTGTTGATGGTAAAAATGAATCCATTGGAACAATATACTGGAAGAAATCAGTTTCTGTACTGATGCTTGATGCGCCATTACAACTGCTATAGATTAAAAAACAAACAAACAATTAATGTAGCTGAAGCTGTAACCTCTGTAACAAAAAGGTGAAACCACAGCACAAGTGCCAAAAACTGCAGTACCTCTAATGCCCACTTGAGGCTGTCTCTCAGGATGAGTCAGTCCCCACAGACTCCTACATAGCAGATCTATCTCTATAACCTTAAGCTAATCTATACTTGGAGTGATTCATAGTCACATGGCCACCAGATACCACAGACAGTGAGCAGCATACTGCAACTTCAAGTGCAGGGGGCTAAGTAGTTGATGAGTTCCTGATGCCTTCATCTCTTCTTTTCAGTGCATGTGTAGGTCAAACATTTGTATATCCTCTTTTGAATCTGCGAGTTCAGCAACTCAAACCCTGCTTTGTTTGACCTATTTCACTCTTAATGGGACGATAATTTACAAAATGGACATCATGTTGTAGTAATTCAAACTCCTAACTAAAGACTGGGCCCATGAACCCGCCAGGTAAAAAATTGCTGAGGTCATGGATCAAGTGACAAGAAAAATATATACAGAGTATTTATGTAATAGGAGCTGTCCTCCAAAAACGCAGCATTAAAGCACTTCTGCAGAGGCTTCTCAGACCACCTGCAGCCAGCAGAACACAGAACAGGATCAAGAACAGGCAAGACTTTATCAGGAATCAATCCACAAGAACTGCCAACAGTTTCTTTGAAAAGAGAACATGCAGAAACATGAATGCTTGGTATGAAAGGTATCCTTTAACAAAGAGCGAATGATCTTCTTAAGTGTAAACAAACTGCGGCTTCCTTTTCCGTTGCCCTCATAAAAGTTAACAGGAAGTTTGTGTAATAATGAAAAAGGATATGTGGTGACAAATGTGGTGATGGAAATAACCCGTTTTTGTTTAAATAATAATGCTAACACGACTTTACCGGCATAAGAAAACAATGATTCAGTTATAAGTAGCAACTGCTTTCAATCCGTCTGGGAAGTAAAAAACTGATGTAGAAAACTCTGTATGAGTGTACAATCTCATTAAAGTCATAAAAACTGAGGCACAAACTGTCCTTACCAGTTCGATTCCTGCCACTGGCTCTGAAATCCCGTTTATCCATCCAATCCAGCGGATAACTCCAAACAGCGGCGGATCATTCACTTCAACCATCGACCCGACCTCCAGATTGCTGCCCGATCCTGCCTCTCCATTCTCTGCTGCGTCGTCACCGTTACCCGGAGCCCTCAGCGGTGAGGCGGGTCCGTGAGTACCATTGGTGTGCTGCTGCTGGCCGGCTGTCAGGCCTTGCGGTTTGGGAGGGGGTAGAGGAGGAGGGGGAGGAAGCCCGGGTTTCTGGGCGGGTTTTGGCAGAGGCAGAGGGGGAGATTTAAGTGCTGGTTTGATTGGGGGCATCAGGGCTATCTTTGGTGCAGAGGCAGGCGGCGATACAGGGACTGATTTAGTAACTGGGGGGAGTGCCACCTTCAGGACGGTTCTGGAAGATTTCTGAGTGGGGTTGGTTCGATGGGACTTTGGTTCTGAGGACGCAGAAGTGAAGATGTTAGACGTTTATTTTTACTGTTATGCTCCTGCAACGCTTCGTCTCTACAAAGCTCAGGTGTAAACACAGTTGTGTCCACATAGCCCTCATTCACGTCCACTCGGCCCTTATGACAAAACATAATTCCTTGTTTTGACTGAGTTTTCATTTGGTTCAGTTACACATCTCTGTATTGCTTTTACTTAGTGATTGTTGGTGTTAATTGTTTCTTTTCTGCAAGATGTTTATAAAAAGGTGAGGTCAAAAAAAAATGTGGCAAGTGACCCATTACAAGCAAAAACACTTCACAATTTGATGTAAACTTGGTAAGTGCCTCCTTCAAAGTTGTCATTTGCTGCTTTCTAGCTCTTCTAGCATAAAGAAAAAAGACAGCGACTTATCGAGCTTCGTTTCATTTTAGGAAGTGTATTGATTCACAGTTCATTTTAATTCCATATTTATTCATATAGTGCCAAATCACAAAAACAATATTGCAAGTGAAAGAGCCTACAATAATACAGAGAAAACCCCAACAATCATATAACCCCTCTGAGCAAGAGCTTTGGCAAAAGTGGGAAAGAGAAACTCCCTTTTAACAGGAAGAAACCAGAACTGCTGTCAGGTTGATCTGTGCACGTTAGGTGGACAGAAAAGAGGCACTTGTCTTTTCCCTCTTGGTGACTTCAGTTTATGAGGGAAAAGCAAAATTATTTCATCACCTCATGTAAACAGTTTAAACGCGTCTTAGTAAACCAATGAAAAGAATCCCCCTTAAGACACTGTGTGGTTATGTAGGCCCAAGGTTTATATGGTTGACGTGATGCAGGTAACACAAAAGTAATACAAGTATTGTAATGACTTACTTTCTGTAATGAAAGAAAAAAAGCTAGATTTGCGTAGTTTGTAAAAGTTAACAAAGTCAGGTGTAATACAGGGTTTTTTGTTTGTGTTTCTGACTCAACCACAGAATCTAAAAATGGAAGCAGTGCTGAAAAAGGCACAAGGAAATTACCTTGATGTGGACAGCTGCCAAATTTAGGCAGGTTAGCCTTATTGTTTCTATGTTTCTCGGTCTATTCTCATTTGACCGTATTAATTGTGGAAAAATACTGGAACTAAATCTGCCATTTTTTAATTAAATTTTTCTATATAGAAGTCAATTTATGGTAAGAAGAGTGAGTAAAATCTAAAGTTTAAAATCTAAATTTGTTGAGTTACCTGAAATAACTGAGGCCTGAACTTTCTGAGTGTAAACAGCTGCTTTACCTAAGGAAACCTTGTTGACTGACACCAGCGCTCCATAAAGGACTGAAGGAATGTGGCAGAGCTTCTCTCCCTTGTAAGTCCCGTCCCAGCTACCATCAGGAGTGTCCTAATGTACAACACAGAGTCAAACATTAAATGCAAATAGAACGGCTTCACCATTACACTGTATAAGACCGTCAAAGCGAGGGAAAATATTTTTTGCTAACAGTTAAAACATGTCCTATTTTCAACAAAAAAACAAAACAAACAAACAAACATCTTCTCTCTCTCTCATGGGTCATACTGACCAGAATGGCTCCCACGTACATTCCTGATGAGGCCCGGCCTGGCAGGGGCCCACAGAACACCACTTCCCCTGCACAGACTTTGTCATCCAGGGGGAAACACACACGCTGACCAGGGCGAAACAGCGGGGGTGACGCAGGGCCTCGGACATGGTTTTGAGCTGTGATGGGTGCTGAGTCTGCAGTTCGTGGAAGGATGCTAAAGGGGGACACCTGAGAAGAGCTGTTGGGTGGATGCTGGTGGAAACTAATGTGACGACTGTGCTGATGCTGCTGCTGCTGGGGCGGCAGCTGAAAATGGTTTGGGCGGCCATTGCTGCTATGGTGACCGTTGCTGCTGCGGTGTTCTCGCTCACGGGGTCGCTGGTGTCCCTCGGAGCTGCTGGACCACTGGCGGGGCCTGATGTGACTGGCCGGGACGAAGAGGGCGCAAGCTTCGGGGCAGGTGAATAACCTCTGGCCTTTGTAAGTGCCGTTGCTTTTTCCCCTACCCACCGCTGAGCCCTGGAGGACAATCACACACACAGTTAACATATTTACACTGCAAGTGACACAGCAACTCAGCTCCTACATCTGTGGTTTGTATATAAACCTATGATTTGATTCCCCGGATATTTTGGTGCAGTTTTATGCTCGCAAACTTTGGAGCTTTATGTATGCAGTAATTGTGATGATTGTGCCAGCCACTGATTATTGTTGGCAATGGCACTCCCTGATGGCAGCAGCCTCCCCATCAGGACAGCAAACTGTAGGAAAAGTGTGAATTAATGAGTTACATTATTTATTTTTATGAACTTCCAAATGTTTCTTTTCAGATAAATGTAGCTTTGGTTAGTCTCCACCCTGTTCATTTTAACTTTTATTTATTTATTTTGTTTTTTAGAAATGTTCAATAGAACACACTTAAGAAACTAATAACAAGTACTACAACATAAACACTTGAGTTAAAGTCACACCAAAGCCTCCTCACACAGGTTGACATAATTATCTGAAGAGCGTTCATGTGTACTATTGTTTTATTTTAGTGAGTACACATCTAGTTTTTATTTGTATTTCTGATACCTGTATCTTTTTGTCATATTTCATTTTAGTTAGCTACAAGTCAAAGTCAGAGTCAACTTTACTGCAGCAGACATGAGGACTGCACAGTGGACTCAACAGCTTTACAAATATGAAAACACAGCACAACAGCAATGAAGGTTAGTCATCATATGTGAATGTCTGTACTGATGAATATTAAACTAAAGTTATGCAAACAAAACTATTGCACAAGCCAGCAACAGTTAAAAAGGAAGCATTGTGGAGGATGACTGTGTGTTTTCATGTATACAAACAATTATAGGATTGTGTGTCTGTAGTGCATGATTATGTGTATTTAAAATGAGTACACAATCCTGACTGCCTGTGGGAAGAAGCTCTTGCAGAACCTGGCAACCTGGTGCCTCAGGCTGTGACAGCATTTGTCAGATGAACAAGGTCCAAACTGGCCAGATCGCAGCCTGATCAAGCATTGCTTGAACGAACCTTATCCATGGAGGCCTCACCCAACAACAACAACCTTTAGGACACAAAGAATCAGCTGCCAACACCACACTGCTGAAGGTATAGGACACTCCCAGAGGTTCACATCCCAAAGGTCTGCAGATAGTTTGGCAGCACAGGGGCAACCTGAACAACATTAGGAAGGGTTTTTATAAATATCTGTGGGTCACTTGATTTCACACACAGGGGTGAGGATCCAGTGGTTATTTTATGTAATCTGATGTGAGGAAAATACAGTCAATGGACGACATGTATAACCAGCATTTAAAGCGGATATTTTCCAAATAGGTTTAAAAAAAATTAATTTCTAATTTAATTTCTTCCTGTACTTAAGTACAAGGATTTCAGATGTGTCACCATTTTGCCAATGTCTGGAAGAAGATGGGAAAAACAAAAACAAAACAAGAAACCTCTGATGGAAGGAAACTGGTCGGGATGTTTAGGAGCCACCAAGGCTCAAGCCTGACATGGAGTGGAAACTGCTGCATGACCAGTGCTTCTGTCCACAGTGAAGACAGCGTGACCTAACAATGCACTGAGAGGGTGCTGACCAAGAAAGAAGCCCCTGCTCCATAACTGACACCTTCAAACGCGATTGAAATGGGGAACTTTTTTTATAGTCAGACATGCAAACCAAAGAACACTGTAACAACTGTAAAGCATGGTGGTGATAGCATCATGCTCTTAGGCTGTTTTACTGCCAGTGATACTGATACATTGTCCTAAGTGGATGGAATAATGAAGGAGGGCTCCCTCCAAATTTTTCAACTTCCCCTCAAAACAGCTGGACAGTTGAAAGTTTACATAGTTGGGTGTCATCAGGACAATGTTCCCAAACACACATTAAAACTGGAATGGATGGATGAAGCTCACACTGAGCTTCTTGAATGGTATTCCCAAATCTCTCACCTCAACCCTAATAAAAATCTATGAACTACGCTTAAAAGCTGGGCCTTGGCCAGGAAACCAACAAGTTTAAATAAACTCTACCAATTCTGCCAGAACAGTGGCCAAACATTCAACCAGAATAATGCCAGAAGCTTGCTGATGGCTACCAATAGAGTCTGGTCATGGTGCAACTTGCAAAGCGATCCTTAAATATATATTAGTGGGGTGTATGTATATATTTGAGCCTGTATTTATACTTTTGACAATGTGCATATTAGAGAAAATCCAAACATTTTTTAAAACTTGTGCACCCAATTCTTGTTTTTTTTTAAGTCATTAAAGATATATGCTGTACAATTATCCCACCCTGGAAAAAAGAACAACTGAAAGATATAATTATGAGTCCAAAATTACCCTGACATTCATTCCAGTGAAGAGTGGATGTAAACTTCTGACCACAACTGTAAATATTCTGCTGTGGAGGGTGGTTTTAACAGTGTAGCTGACTGGTGTACAGCTAGCACCCACAGAGCAATATCAGCACTGATCCTGTGAAGCTTCTGGGTAATGAGTCAAAAAAAAGATCCCAGGAAGTCTCTTCTTTTAGCGATTTTATACTCTGGCTCTTTAGCTGCCATCTTTTTTTTTGCCCAGGTTTGGTAACGAACAGCTATTGTAGGTAGTGAGAAACCGCAAAGCAGGTTCAACAGTATCAGCTATACCATGCAACGCATAAGCAGTTCAAACTGCTGATTAAAGCAACTTAAAATATTTGAAAATTCAAACAATCCAATGATTAAGCCAACCTTGAGTTGGACCCCAAAATACACAGCGCTGCTTCCTCTGGTTAAGGGCCCGATATACTTCAGCTCTGCCTCTGCCAGCTCATCCTGCTGACCTATTTGGACCCACAGCGGGGAGTCAGACGGCAGAGAAGCCAACTGCTGCAGCTTCCCAGGCTGGTCTGAAAAACACAGAACAATACAACAAACAAACAAATAATTAGCAGATTACAAACTTCTAATTACATTTGATTAACATCCTCTGGGACAGTTTTTGGTCACATTTCAGGCCATAAATGTACTTATAATAGAGAAAAGCTTCAGTGTGCTCTACAATTACTGCGATAAACAGCCATTACAGTGTGCACAGTGTGCAGTAAAAACAGGGCAGCTTATGAGTAACTGGCAGCACTTAAGAGACACAAATCTGAACTCTCTTTCCTTAGAAAGTGAGTTAAATCAAGCTTCGAGCACATTTTAAGTAAGCAGCTGTAAAATCTGCAGTATTTTGCTTCTTACTTAGAAGTTTTAGTCGAGCCTCTGGATCTCTAACAGCCTCCAGCAAGCCAGTGAGGTCAGTTGGGACATCAATTAAGACTCTCCTTTCTATTTTTCCCATGAAGTCATTGTCCAACACCTGCAGGAAAAGAGGAAAAACACATGTGGGAGAAAGAAACAGGGAGAGGAGGGATGGTGGTGTGGAGTATGAAAGAAAAATTAAGAACAAAACAACAGGAAATTTAAGTCTGACGATTTTAAAAGCAGGAACTCAGCAGCGGCTGGTGGATGCTCGAATTTGAAGTGGAACATAGTGAATGTGTTAGGAGCAACATAAGACATGGGCCACCCAAGTGATGCATAATGTATATAATTAACTGAGATTGCACAAAAACACCACTTTAAAAGTCTTTTCGAAATATTATCGCAAAATACTCAAGATTACTCCACCAATGTTAATTCATTTTAATCATTCTAAGTAAGAGAAATAAAAACAGCTTGTATTAGTAAAGTTGACGCTGACAAATGGTAGCACCTTTCAGACTCTCCTCCTAGCACTACACAACAAGTTCCTCCATGTGTCAAATCTTGTGTAAATCTGTGAATGCAAATATATGTTAATACCTTAACCCAGGGGCTGTCCCCTTTTTTATCCAAATCTTGCTCCTGGCAGATGAACCCCCGCTGTAGCGAAATGGTACCTTCCAGCTGGTCGCGCACCTTTATGTCGGTCGAGATCAAGAACGTTTTGGGGGGGCGGCGCTTCCTGATCTGCTCATGGGCCCCTGACATCTTACGTGTGTGTGAAGTGTGGCTGGTTCACAGTCGAATTAACCCCTTCATTTTTCTAAAAAATTGAGAAAAATAGTTAATTAAAAGATACGTAAAGAGGGTTTAAAAAGAAAAAAAGAAACAACCTGTCTGTCGGGCCAAGTGGCAGCAGCGGCAGGTAACGTTTAAATTTTCCTCACTGGCGTTCAAACTCAAGGTTTGTCAAAAGAAATGGCAAAAGGCTAACTTTCCGTCATTTCCTCAACAGACAAAGACACACGGTTAGTTTTGTAGGCGTCTATCAGAAACTCACCAACTTCATGGGCTCCGACCGTCAACATTTCCCCTCACATTTAAAGGAGCTTCGCTGCAATAACAAACCATACTGTGAAGCAGGAAGCGGGCTGACTGACACCGGCGGGGGCCAATAGCAAGTTAGAAGCCATAACCGAGGGAGGAGCGTAGACCAATCAGAGCACTTGTGGGCGTTACCATGTTAGGCAAAGGGGGAAATTCCACAGTTCTTGTTAAAGTGCTCACTGATGCACGTAGGAAGCTTCCACACACACACACAAACACCACATGTGGTTTTTTTTAAATTTTTTATTAGCTTATAAATAGAGTGAATTCTTCAACTTACACAGAAATACACATCCAAAAAAAGAAGACGAAGAAATATTCTGAGCACAATCAATTTAAAACATAAAATAAGTCTTTTTAAAGTGCAAAATTTCCAAATGTGCATCATGTGACTCTTTTTTAATGGCGTAATTATACTGATATTCTGATGTTTTACAGCATAATTAATGACAGCTATGGGGCCACACTCGATAAATAAATCATATTTCAGAGCTATATGGTTTTATTAAATCTCTCTGGCTCCAGCAGTGAGGACATATGACCAGCCAGTCCTTTTTTTTCCAGAATTTCACAATAAAAGCACAGGTTAGAGAATAATAACAATAACTAAAAAAAAATCGCAAAAATAAATATATTTTACACAAATATTTTTCTTTCCTATCCAATGGAACAGCTTGTGATTCCCTCAGGTTAAAGCAAAAATATTACCAAACCTGTTTTCAGCTGCACATATAAACCCTTTTCACAGGCGTAGCTAAAGTTATGAGCAGTGCCAGTGTTTTTCCTTCAATGACGAGTCATTATATTAGAAAACAGCAAATGCAGCAATACAGTAAAAAAAAAAAAACAAAAGTGAAAAATGTAAAGATATCTGAGCTAAAACCTAAATGTCTGTAGTGAAAAACATAAATAATCTAAAATAAAATCCTCTAAATGTAAATCCTATATGATCCTTCATATAACAGCAGTGATCTTTGGTACCTTCTAACTTCATACACGAGTACTGTGTGATTCAGCCACGACCAATGTACCAAAAAAAGCATATTTCATTTAATGTTTTGATAATAATACAATGAAAAGTGTCTGCAGCAGTTTCACATGAAACACAGATACAGTACAGAAACAGTAGGCAGCATGCGTGGAAAGCTCCCTGCTTTCGGCTGCTTGCTCGCAGTTGTGCGCCTTCCTTTGACCAGTCTGAGGTGGCTTCTCTTCGGTGAATGTGAATGATTGCCGGGTGTTGACCTTTGCCGTCACATCACACAGAGGCCGTGCAGGTGTCTATAATGACTGCCGGCCTGGCTGAACATACAGTGGTGTTTTATTTTAAGTCCTTCACACTGATTGTGTTTCTCCGTGTGGAAAAAGAAAAAAAGAAAACCCCAGAATGAGTCATGCAAGTGTGAGCTTGGCTGCTACAGACAAACAACAAGCACCTGCAGCTTGTGTCTGGGCCGTGGCCTGCAGTGAAGGCTTGATCAGAAATCAGGAGACGTGTGATCCGTGTTAACAAAGTAGGTGGTGAGCTCCCCCTTCCCCTTCACATTCACTTTTCCTCTGAGAGTGACGCCGTATCCCACAGTCTGAACCATCTGGGACGTCTCCTCGGTCACCTGCGAGCCAGAAAATGACAATAAAAAGAGTTAGGTTATATGTCTCTCCAGGCATCTTTAAGCTGCTGTGCCAAAAAAAAAAACACACCTGAGGCAACAGAAAAGCACAAGAGGCAACGAGCTGCCAAGGCAGAGCTCACAGCTCAGTATGAAAGAAAAGATGGTGTTGTGCTGGAGTCACATTAAGAAAAGTCCTGACCCCAGTTAATTCGATTATATGAATCCGACCACGTCCTGTCACTCAGCACGTCCAACCAATGACGAGGGGAGTAGACATCAAGACCTTATTGTAACGAGAACCCGATGGTGCTATCTATCTATCTATCTATCTATCTATCTATCTGTCTATCTATCTATCTATATATATACATGGTACAGTATGATGTTAAAGCCTTAGATTTGCTTCCAAAGAGTCAGCTTTCTTGTCATTCTTAAAATGCTCTTGGACAGTAGTTCTCCAGGTTTTATGAAGGTATTTCAAAGTTTTCTTTGGACATTGGCTGCTTTTTCACTCGTTTTCAGTTCATTCTTTTTGCCTTTTAAGAGTAATGTTTGTTGTTTTTATGCTTGAATCCTTCAAGCATAAAAAAGGCTCCCAAACAAAAAGCAAGGGACCAAATTTAGCCACTTTGTTACTAACAACCTGTTGTAAAAACACTTAATTTGTTTTTCATTTCTTTAGTTGAATCTATTGAAAAAAAGCCAAAGATAGCATAGCTTGTGTCATGGTTCTGGGTCAATTTGACCCTACATTTTGAGTTTCTTGTGTTTTGGTAATATTTTGTAGTATGGTTTATGTTCTGATTCACTAGTAGTCTCTGTTTAGTTCCTTGATTATTAGATTCCCTCTTGTGTCTTGTTTTTCTTGCGTTCCACTCTACGTTTCCCCCAGCCCGTCATGTCCCCCCTTTGTCTGCCGTTCCTCCGCTCTGTCAAACTCGTGTGTCAGTCTTGCATTCATTCATTTCCTGTTTTATTGTGAGGGTCTTGTGTTCCATGTTCAGTGTGTTTTGCTTTCCTGGTCTCCTCATGTCTAATTTGTCTCAGCTGTGTTCCACGTGTGTTTTCTGTTCCCTTGTCGTAGTACTGTGTATCTAAGCCTCTGTCTCCCTCTGTCCAGTGTTGCGTCTCCTTCATTCCCTGCTGTGTGTTCTGCCTGCCTGCCTGCTTAGTTACTTGTACATTCCAGTTTTAGTTAGTTTTGCATTGTCTGATATTCTGCAATAAATTATAATTAACTTAAAAAATTTATTATTTGCCTCCATGAGTCTGCGCTTGAGTCCTCTCTTGCCTGCTTCACACAACCAGCACATGGCAGCTTGACATACATGAAATAGTGTTTTTGGACCAACAAGGTGATTCACAGGCAGCTATTGGCTGAAAACTTGGCATATCTCAGCCTGATGTGCGGGATGTCCTTAAAATACTGAGGAAACTGGACAAAGGAAGAAGTTGCAGGCCTAGAAAACCATTACATTTATTGTAGTGTTGTTGTGTGGCATTCTTACCAGAAAACTAAAAATACCCCTAAAAAACACACAACAAAAATAGTCTCCATTAAAATTTTATTAGATTTTTTTCTATCTAATAGAACTTTACCTTGAAATATTTGTTTTGTTGTATTGTGTCCTTATGTCATTTTATTGAGCCATATATTTTGTTCTTCTTCTATAAGCTATTTTAGGTCGTGTTTGAGTTGTAGCCGCTGTAACAAACGACTTTCCTAACCTTTGAGAGTCAGTAAATAAAGTTTATCTTATCTTACTGAACAATATTGAAACTTTCATCAGACTGGCGTCCTTTAATAATGCATTAATGCCTTTACAAACATCAATAAACCACCATACAATATTTTATTATCATATTATAGGCTTGTTACACCAAATCCATCAAACACTGGTGAGAGAAACAGACTCAGGATATATTCCAAAAAACAAAACTGACCTGGATCTTGTCCAGTACTCCTGTACTGTCCATCCTGCTGGCCACGTTAACAGAGTTCCCCCAAATATCATACTGAGGTTTATGGGCTCCGATAACTCCTGCAATCACTGGGCCGTGGTTGATCCCTGAAGGTGAACAGCAGACAGAAGTTATTTCAGGGTTATCAAGACTGTCTGAGGAGGTGAGATCAGCACCATCCATGCACCCGTGTTGTCTTTCTTTAAATCATTTAGCTGTTTATAAAAATGAAAAATAAACAGACATCATGCAACTTCTGATTCGACTCTGAAAATAACAATAAATAACCAGACTATAAATAATCTGTAACATCTGCATTATTCTTCTGCAGAGACTCACCAATCCTCAATTTAAAGCTGTTAAAAGAGTGTGTGTTGATGTTTTCTAGCTTGGCCATCAAAGCGATGGCGAACTCCACCATGGAGCGCACGTGGCTGTAGGACATGTCACATTTCTGTAGGGGGAGCCAGAGATCACAGTATTCAGTCAGAGGGAGCGTGTGCAGTTTGTTTACACTTTAAAAGTGGACCAGAAGACGGCTTTGCAAGCCTGGATTTGCAAATCCAAATTCCTTTCCTGAGTATGTCAGTCATCCTGTGTGCAACCTGCAGGTAATAACCTAAAGCTGTGACTTCAGGGTCACAAACCTTTCTTTCATCCCCCGGAGCCAACTGTGTCAGCCCTGCAGCGGCCATGTAGGTGCTGCCGATGGTCTTAATCTTCTCCACCGAGGAGAACTTGGGCTTTGAAAGAAGCTGCGTGAAAGAGACACAAAGAGGAAGAGAGAGTGAGAAAGAGGCAGAAAAGACAAAACGTTCCAGCAGGCTGGTGCTGACAGCAGCAGGACTTCACACCGTCAGCTTCCTCATACCTCATCGAAGTCTGATATGATTTCGTTGAGGAATCGCAAACACTCCAGGCCGTCTTTGTTTTCGCTCGTCTCGTTGTAAAACTCCTTGAACTGAGGCACCGATGCAAACATCACGCACACGCAGTCATATGACTGACTGTACAGGTCCTGAAAGGATGTAAAATAAAATTATGATTAAAAAAATAATTCCAGCATAAGCCTATTTTCATCCAATTTGCATGCAGGAGCCAAGTCAAACCTGTTCTGCTGCTTTTTGCACATGAAACTCCAAAAAGGTTTCATAACTGGAAACTAGCGTGTTGGTGCCAACACTCAACTCACTCAACATCCAAAAATCATTGATTTTTTTTCCCTCCACAGTGTTTTCAGACTAACTACTCTCAAATATGGCTGACTGAATGATTGAGGTGGTACAAATAGTAAGAAAAATATATGAAGCAGAAACTTTTTTCCCTTTATTTCCTGTCAAATATGTGCTGTTAACCAATAATT